TACTCAAACAGCTAGAATGTGCTCAGGTACAACATAGCCGTCTCACTCACTCACTCTGAACTTGGACAGTAAGATGAAGATTTTTAGGACAATACAGTGCAAACTAATGACGGTCATAAGACAGTGACTACCACAATGGAGTCAGTCTTTGTTACCCAGCACCCTGATAGAGACCACTGTTATAAGCAATTGCTTGGTCATTGCATGTATACAGTACACAGAATTGTATTCAGCCGGGTACACAAACCTATGAACAGATCAGAATGGGCTCTCAAAGTAAACATGTAGTGAGTACAAGTGAACTTTAACAGTCGTGTGCACATAACCTGTATATAAGGGGGGGGGGGGGAGTAAATAGTAGATCTATACCATGATGCGGACATGCACGCCAGATTAGGGTGTAGTGCTGCTTTATTATGCTCACTTACCCCACAGGTAACTGCTCCAATGCCCCAATGACACAGTGCACACGGCCATACAAAGGGAACGAGGCTGCTGCTTCCAGCAAGGAACTCTGTGCCAGTACAATTTCCTGCTCAAGGTTGTCCATCAGCAGTCTGGCCACTGAAAAAGATATACCATACACAAGACTGTAACATTGGTTTTCAGCATCATTCATCAATAATTCTCTTTTACTCTCGGTATAACACATTTTTTTTTAGACTCCTCATATGGACGTATGAGAGACATAGAAACCTTTACTCGTAGTTTAAAAAAAAAAAGAAAGAGACTTTTGGCAGAAATGCCAGTGTTAAAATGATAACTTAAAGCAAAACAAAAATGTTTCTTTTACAGCGCTGCTTTATTTGGCCAAGAATTTGTCTGGCCCAAGATCGGGCCAAAACATTAACTCAAACTTCCAGAAAGTTCTCTACATGAACTCGAGTGTCGAGAGACAAGAAAAACAGCACCCCCTTCTACAACTGGTACAAAACTGTATCATCACAATGCACACTTCATTCTTTCAAAGTCAAATACCACTTTGACACCTCCAACGTATTATTGTAAACCGCCTTCAGGCTTTCATCATTTTACTGCCTTATATCAAGGGTCTCGAAACTTTTCAGTATGAGGGCCACATCATATATTGTACAAATATGGGCCCCAAAAAAAAAACATTTCAAAGTCAAATACCACTTTGACACCTCCAACGTATTATTGTAAACCGCCTTCAGGCTTTCATCATTTTACTGCCTTATATCAAGGGTCTCGAAACTTTTCAGTATGAGGGCCACATCATATATTGTACAAATATGGGCCCCAAAAAAAAAACAGTTATATAAATGAATCAAATATAAATGAATAGGTCCCCCCTTACAACCAGAAGTGCCCATCAGAGTCCCCCCTTACATTCAAGAGTTCTCATCAGAAGCCCCCTTTACAAAAAGTGCCCAGCAGAGTGCCCCCTTACATGCAGAAGTATCCAGCAGAGTCCCCCCTTACATGCAAGAGCTCCCACTAGAGTCCCCCTTACATGCAGTAGTGTCCAGCAGAGTCCCCCTTACATGCAGTAGTGCCCAGCAGAGTCCCCCCTTACATGCAGTAGTGCCCAGCAGAGTCCCCCCTTACATGCAGTAGTGCCCAGCAGAGTCCCCCCTTACATGCAGTAGTGCCCAGCAGAGTCCCCCCTTACATGCAGTAGTGCCCAGCAGAGTCCCCCCTTACATGCAGTAGTGTCCAGCAGAGTCCCCCCTTACATGCAGTAGTGTCCAGCAGAGTCCCCCCTTACATGCAAGAGCTCCCACTAGAGTCCCCCTTACATGCAGTAGTGTCCAGCAGAGTCCCCCTTACATGCAGTAGTGCCCAGCAGAGTCCCCCCTTACATGCAGTAGTGCCCAGCAGAGTCCCCCCTTACATGCAGTAGTGCCCAGCAGAGTCCCCCCTTACATGCAGTAGTGCCCAGCAGAGTCCCCCCTTACATGCAGTAGTGCCCAGCAGAGTCCCCCCTTACATGCAGTAGTGCCCAGCAGAGTCCCCCCTTACATGCAGTAGTGCCCAGCAGAGTCCCCCCTTACATGCAGTAGTGCCCAGCAGAGTCCCCCCTTACATGCAGTAGTGCCCAGCAGAGTCCCCCCTTACATGCAGTAGTGCCCAGCAGAGTCCCCCCTTACATGCAGTAGTGCCCAGCAGAGTCCCCCCTTACATGCAGTAGTGCCCAGCAGAGTCCCCCCTTACATGCAGTAGTGCCCAGCAGAGTCCCCCCTTACATGCAGTAGTAGGCCATACAAAGGGAACGAGGCTGCTGCTTCCAGCAAGGAACTCTGTGCCAGTACAATTTCCTGCTCAAGGTTGTCCATCAGCAGTCTGGCCACTGAAAAAGATATACCATACACAAGACTGTAACATTGGTTTTCAGCATCATTCATCAATAATTCTCTTTTACTCTCGGTATAACACATTTTTTTTTAGACTCCTCATATGGACGTATGAGAGACATAGAAACCTTTACTCGTAGTTTAAAAAAAAAAAGAAAGAGACTTTTGGCAGAAATGCCAGTGTTAAAATGATAACTTAAAGCAAAACAAAAATGTTTCTTTTACAGCGCTGCTTTATTTGGCCAAGAATTTGTCTGGCCCAAGATCGGGCCAAAACATTAACTCAAACTTCCAGAAAGTTCTCTACATGAACTCGAGTGTCGAGAGACAAGAAAAACAGCACCCCCTTCTACAACTGGTACAAAACTGTATCATCACAATGCACACTTCATTCTTTCAAAGTCAAATACCACTTTGACACCTCCAACGTATTATTGTAAACCGCCTTCAGGCTTTCATCATTTTACTGCCTTATATCAAGGGTCTCGAAACTTTTCAGTATGAGGGCCACATCATATATTGTACAAATATGGGCCCCAAAAAAAAAAAGGCCACATCATATATTTTACAAAAATGGGCCCCAAAAAAAAAAACAGTTATATAAATGAATCAAATATAAATGAATAGGTCCCCCCTTACAACCAGAAGTGCCCATCAGAGTCCCCCCTTACATTCAAGAGTTCTCATCAGAAGCCCCCTTTACAAAAAGTGCCCAGCAGAGTCCCCCCTTACATGCAGAAGTATCCAGCAGAGTCCCCCCTTACATGCAAGAGCTCCCACTAGAGTCCCCCTTACATGCAGTAGTGTCCAGCAGAGTCCCCCTTACATGCAGTAGTGCCCAGCAGAGTCCCCCCTTACATGCAGTAGTGCCCAGCAGAGTCCCCCCTTACATGCAGTAGTGCCCAGCAGAGTCCCCCCTTACATGCAGTAGTATGTCCCCTCTCCCATGAAGGAGTGTACAAAAAGCAAGTATTTTATTTTGGAAAAGATAGCAACTGTTTATGATGCAAAGTGTTTAGCAAAGTAAACGTCATAAGCCAGTTTTTATTGGCTATAAGACTAGGAGCACAACTAATCACTGAGGAGCATTGCGGTACTGCATGTACTTTGACACCGGTGGGATAATGAGCGTTGTGCTAGGCACCCCATTCAAAATGAATTAGCTGTCAATGCACCTTGACTGCCCAGAAATTGCACCTGCACCTTTTTTGGCTGCACAGCAGTACGGTTCACCACATCTGCATTGGCAAGGTACATGGGGTAGCCACTGAGGGGGAAAAAATGGCACCACATAACACCACTGCAAGTAGCAAGCGGTGCTGTGCATTGCAGTAATACGCATGGTTACAAGCGCATTCCCAAAACACAATAATGTAACAGGGTCTAAAAAGAAAACAAACAGTCATATGTATTAATTTTGCATTACCGAGTACCATTAATATACAGTTTACTATGGCACATAGCTACATATTATCTGCTTGCTGGACCATCATTTATATTTCAAATCTCAAGTCAGAGGTACAACATCCCCATTACTAGCATCTTTTGGAGAAGTACGTTTCATATGCTGAGTAAAAGGTGACTTTAGGTGCTACAAGAATCCAAGTAACCATATACAGCAACATTTCATGTGGTTTAAAGTCCCGGGCTCACCAGACATGAAGATCATTAGTGCTTACATATTTTGGCCAAAATACACAGCATTTAGGGTGTTTTGTTTTTTGGAGTAGTTTTATGTTATTTTTTTTAAGGGTGCGTGGAAGATACCAAACCATCCCACCCGGTTCCTAAAATAAATACAGATGCCACGGAGAGGCTGGGCTTCAGCACTGAGCAGCCAAAGTTACAATTCTCTTTTTTAGTGTGTTTTCTGTAGAAATGTAAAAATGGTCTGGATCAAGGCCAGGTAACCATATAAACACACCAAAGTACATCTGTCAAAGCTTCATTGTGGGATATTGAAGAGTGCAGTCTTGTTTTGACTTGGTGGAATAAAGCACAATCACTGCCCTTTGCAACACAGCAGAGACAAGCAAGCCACAACTGGTAAGCTGGCAGCTCTAGCATTAGACAACAACTAGTTTATGGGCTGCTAGGCCCCTCCAAGCTTTGCTTGTAACCTGTTCATTTTAGTTACAGTCAAACCAAATATTTAATAGCATTACACTGCAATTGTGGGCAGGCTATGGACATTTAAATATTTGCATTTTCTTAACTACTTGAGTACCTGGGCCATTTTCTCCCTAAGTCCACCAGAAGATTCTTATTTCGTTTTGGCCATCTCTCGGTTAGACATAATTTATCTTTCAGCAGTTGTAAGTTATGCAATATTTTTGGGGGGCAGATAGGGCTCTAATTTGGTATTTTATTTGCTTGCTTTTTATTGTGAATAAATAGTTTTTAAAAAATTCCAAAAGGCACCACTCATACCATACCACATACCACTCATTTACAAAATGCAAGCCATAACCCACAGCAACCAATCACAATTCAGATGACAAAAATGAATACTGATTGGCTACCAAGGGATACAGCACATTGTCTTCCTGCGTTCACATTTAGAGTATTTTTAAGCTGATCATACTTGCATACTTCTAAACAAACAAAATGAGTGATTCTCCTTTGGAAGAAAACAAAAAGTTTAATGTGCAAAACATCTGTTCACCAAATGGGATAAAATAAAGCTTCCAACTAACCAGTGAAGGTGTTCCTCTCCAAGAAACTGGTGCTATCAATATGGAATGTTTGATAGTCTGGTACATTCCGCTCACTTTGTGCCCAGTCACGCAAAGCAGCCTCCAAACCCTCCTGATATACCAAGAACTTCAGCAAGTAGGATGCAGTTACACAGCCAAAGTGTTTAGTACTTGTGCTCAGAATCATCACTGCCTGGAACAACTCGAGCAATTTCTCCGGGTCCTGAAACAAGAGATACATACGAATCATTTACTTATCTAAAATCTAATAAATCACTAATGTTTTCTTCTCAGTGATATACAAAAAACACAGAGGCATTTCCTTCACTTCACAACCCTGTGCAACTTACAATCTACATATGGATAAGATTGTCGCATATTAACTAGCACTGCTGTCCTGAGGTGCTGGAAGGCTGGTAGCAATTCCCACCAGGGCATCACATGCTGGGAGTTTGTAAGTTTTCATGGAAAGGTTTACTCCAGGGGTTCAGCATTGTGGTGGATTAATAAAATTCTAAACCGACGCGAATGTAAATTTGTAGGACTGTGGTGGGGATATTAGACTGTGTGCTAGTGACTAGGGATGCACCAATATATTGGCCGAAAATGGCACTTTTGGCAAAATGCTGAAAGTGCCTTTTTCTGGCCGATATAGTGGTGCATCCGTTCATCCTCTCCTCCCAACTGGGCACTGTTCTGTGTCCCAGCGGGCAGGAGAGAAACTGTCACAGACGGCCAAGCGCTGCAGGAGGAGAGCGCTGTGGGCGGCTAGCGTCTCTACTCCCCGCACCGCTTAGCCTCTTATCACAGATCGGGAGAGCGATGTGGGCAGAGACAGCTCTCAAAGCTGTCACAGGAGGCTGAGCTCCGCTCGCTCAGCCTCCTGTGACAGCTGTCAGGATGGAGAGCGAGTACAAACACTCAGCGATCGCTGAGTGTTTGTAAATAATTGACAGAGTATGTCCTCGATTATGAATGAATGGGAAGTGATCTACATCACTTCCTGTTCATTCATGATGTGGTTATAGTAAACACACTATGTTCTCATGATATGAATGAATAGGAACACTCAGTACAGAGGATTCCTGTTCATTGATAACAGGGGATGCAGAAATAGAGATTGAGGACTTTGTGTCCTCAATCTCTTTTTCTATTTCAATAGGGAAATATCAGGGGTCTGTTTAGACCTCTAATATTTCCCAGAAGCCCCTAAAACTAATGTAAAAAATAAAAATATTTAATAAAAATGAATACATAAAAATTAGATATAAAAACATTAACAAGTTTATTAAAAATAAAATTTTAAAAATTTTAAAAAGTTAAAATAAAAAAAATTTTGTTTTCGGCCTGAAATTTTTTTTTCATTTCGGTTTTGAAATTTTAATTTTGGTGCACCTCTACTAGTGACTAAAGCACATGAATCTAGGTATCTCTGTAAACAGGGTTGGGTAACCTTGGCCGTTTTGGAACTACAGGTCTTATGAGGCACCCGCGGGCATGACTCCCAGAGATAGAGGCATGATGGGATTGATGGTTTTGTCACGGCTGAAGTGCAAAGGTTGCGTATGGCGGAATACGATGGTGTTAGATATAATGGATATCTCAGTCTCATGCTACCCCTTTCAATGCTAAACTGCGACACACACAGAAGGGGGTGGGAAATATTCTCATTAATTGTTAGCATAACATTAAGATAGGATTAGGTTGGGTTGGCGAGGGCACAAATTAGTATGATAGCAATCCATGTAGCTCTGCAGCAACATATCATGTCTAATAGTGATCTATTGCTGGCTGCAATCAGCCAGCAGTAGAATACTATAGCAGTGATTTACTGCTACAAGAAAAGGCTGGACAGAGGTATGTTGGACCCCTAGAGGATATCTCAGTAACATGCCAAACACAATCATCACCTGATCTGTAGCAGTGATCTACTGCTGCAAGAAAAAGCTGGACAGATTTATGTTGGACCCCTAGGGGATATCTCAGCAACATGAAAAACACAATCATCGCCTGATCTGTAGCAGTGATCTACTGCTGCAAGAAAAGGCTGGACAGAGGTATGTTGGACCTCTAGAGCAGTGGTTCACAACTTGTGTAAAACTCAGGACCCACATTTGTCCTCGGTCATTAAGTTGCGACCCAAGTCACACTGCAATGGAATCCACGGCATTAGGGTACCGCGCGTCCGGGGCGGGCGAACGAACTGTGGGTGGGAGGTGTGTTTGGGGTACCATTCAAATGAATGGCAATGCAACATACCAGAATGCAAGGTAAGTGACATTGCATGGTACAGTGCCTTAATCGTACGGTACTAAGTGATTAACGCATTGTACTAGTGTGAACGAGCCCTCAAAAACACTGACATACATACAACCACCGACAAATTCTCACACACACATTTTTTTTATGGTCTACCCAGTCTCCTTACCTTACGAGAACTGAAGTGGATCCTCAGCCTGGGGTCCAGTGTGGGCTGCTGTACTGTGACAGAGCTCCATCCATATGTGCATTGCTGACATAGCTCCCTTGCCTCCCCTATAGGGGTGCCGGGAGCCAGAATGTGATGAGACTCCAGGCCAGGCACTTCTATAGGACATGTGAGGGAGCTGTAAGCAATGCACGTATGGATGGAGATCCCTCGTGGCCACAGCCCCATCTCATCTCAAGCGGACACTCAGCGCCGGGCAGCGTATTTGTAAAGGCTGCTTGGCGTGAGAACAGACAGTGCTGCGCTAGGGGAGGCAGAGGGGCTTCTCACCTAGAAAAGTGGAAGGCATGCAGTGACCCACTGAACACGATGTCATGACCCACTTTTGAGTCACAACCCACCAGTTGAGAACCAAGTTTCTAGAGCCTTGGTTCTCAACTGGTGGGCCGTGACCCAAAAGTGGGTCGTGGCCCCGTGTTCAGCGGGTCGCCGAGTGCTTTCCACTTTTCAATCTGAGAGGCTCCTCAGTTTCCCCCTAGCACAGCACTGTCAGTTCTCGCACCGAGCAGCTTGGGGTGGGGTTGGGCTATGGCAGCGAGGGAGCTCCATCCATACATATAATGCTTACAGCTCCCTTGCATGTCCTGTAGAGGTACCTGGACAGGAATGACATTACATTCTGGCTCCCCGCACCTTTACAGGGCATGCAAGGGAGCTGTAAGCATTATATGTATGGATGGAGCTCTGTCATAGCACAGCAGCCCACACTGGACCCAAGGCTGAGGATTCACTCCAGTTCTCGTAAGGTAGGGAGGCTGGGTGGATCTTTAAAAAATGGTGTATGTGTGGTTGAGAATGTCTGTGAGTGTGTGAGATTGTGTCTCTGTGGTTATGTACGTTTGCCAGTGTTTATGAGGGCCCGTTCACACTACTGCAGTGCGTTAATCGAACAGTCCCATGTGATTATCGCACTGTACCATGCAATCGCACCCACTATGTGTTCTGGTGTGGGAGGCGCTTTGTGTTGCCATTTATTTGAATGGCACCCCAAACGCACCTCCCACAGTTCAGTCGCCCGCACCGGAATGTGCGGTACCGCAATGCCGTATGTCCCATTGCAGTGCGACTTGGGTCGCTACTTAAAGACCAAGGACAAATGTGGGTCCTGAGGTTACACAAGTTGAGAACCACTGCTCTAGAGGATATCTAAGTAACATGGCAAACACAATCATCGCCTGATCTGATCTAATTAAGAATAAACATCTATATACTACCCTGGACCTGTGCATGCAAATCTCAGGGAAGAATTGGACCAGTCAGGAGGAAACAATCCCAGCACAAGAGATACTGGCAAGACTCTGGTACAGACATGTATGTTTAAGCCCCAATCGCTACACAGCGATCAGAGACTTTGACTTCCATCTCAAGTCTATGACTATCCTTACCTAATCAGCCTCTCTTACTTTAAAGCTGGCCATAGAAATGAGAGAACAGCCAGCGGTGCCCGCAAGTTCGGAACATCTCTCAGTGTGTTAAACAGGAATGCTCGCGCTGCACAAGCATTCCTGTTTAGGTTATAGGAGGACAAAAGGGGAGGTGAGTCGAACATGTGGCCTTATTCAAGTGGTATCAGTAATAAAAAGAACAGTTTTCTATCCGCGGCAAACGCTCTCTTTCCGGAGCCAACCGCAAACCATCTGAAAATAGCTGCATCAGGAGCCTGTCAATTCAAGTCATTGAGCACTGGATTATCAGCGAATGTCACGTACATTATCATCTTGTTACAAGGACACCACATCACAGGCCAATTACATGGTTAGCTGGCTTTCTGGGTATAATTAGTGTATGCAGGTGTAGAGACCTCAGGGCAACCAACTAAATGAATGAATGAAGGGATATTTGTTTGCGGTTTGCTTCTATGATTCGGAGTTATGAGCAGCTTGTAGACTGTTGTCAGATCTTGTAAGGAGATAGCAGGAAGAACGCCAGCGGTGGTAGCTCTTTTTCTTCATGCTGCAAGGATGGCACTAGTTCCCAATGAACTGTTAGGCCACAGTCGGCATGAATAATAATTGGTTCCAAACAAAAGGGACACTGTGGGGTTGATTTACTGAATGAGTAGAGACTGTTCATTTACTGAATGCTCACTTTGAAAAATGTATACTTTGCAAATGTGAATAATGGCAAAATAGATGAATCTGTGTTTATTTTCAATATTGAATACATTTAAGGGCAATAAAAGAAATGAAATTGTTGCTAGCACATGATTGATTATTCACTAGGCTCAGTATTAACTTTGCTATGTGAACAGTCTCTATTTATTCAGTACATTAGCCCCTTACTGTAGATGATGGGTACATGATTAAGCCCCAACCATTTCCGATAACAGCTTTTATTTATAAGACTCCAACAAGTACCACAGTGTTGTACAAGTAATAAATACTCCAGCCATTTCACACCAGATGCATTGGGGCTGCCCCAACGCAATAACAAGGCAGCAGTCTTATTATCAATTGTCTCAGCTCACACCACCGCGCCAGCGCAGTGTGATGTGGTACAACTGCAATCCACCATACTGTGGCTGCAGAACTGAATTAAATGTCATTTATGATATTTCAATATAGTACTAAAAAGTAAAAAAGTAACCAATGCAATGCGCTGGCATCAGTTCATCGGCATGGTTTCTCTAACTGCACACCAGCAGCCGTGTGTTTAGTGCGAATCCAACATCAAGGGGTTACTTTCCTAAACATGTATAGGCTGTTCACTCAGCAAAGTGAATTTCCACTTTTAAAAGTAAATGTTAACCTGGTCTAGTGAGAAGGGTGAAGTCGTGTTCACTTCAATCATCTAATACTTTGCAAGCAAAATTTCACTTTGCAAGCTAAAAGAAATAAGGAGGGACACTGCTGACCACCCCAGCACAGACAGCTAGGACATGCTGAGAAAGATCTGTGACCACATGCAGCTCCCAAAAATGTTTTATTTTTCTTTTACGTCTATCACATTTACACACCAATTTGCTCTTTTTCCTACAAAGAGGCGCTGTTTTTCTAAAATCCCACTGGCATTATGTTAGTTGGCCATGTGCAGAGCTCTTCCTTAGGTGCTCACACTGGTGAGTGTACCGTGTGCAATCCAGTCACTGCTTTATTCACAGGACAAAATTAAGTGGCGTAGTGGTTAGAACATCTGCCTTGCAGCACTGGGGGCCCCTGGTTCCAATCCTGGTCAGGACACTATCTGCATGTAGTTCGCATGCTCTCCCTGTGCTTGTGTGGGTTTCCTCCCACTCTCCAAAGACATGCTGGAAGGTTAATTGGCTCAGGTCTAAATCACTTGTGTGCGTGAAATGTGAGAGAGGGATTTCGCATGCGATCGACTTTTCGGCCGATAATCGTATGTGTGCATTGCAGTGTCCGACCGACAGTACTGTACAATCGTACGACTTTTGACGGTCGAGCATGTTTGAAAACTTTGTTAGATCGTACGATTTTCGCAAGGTTGCTGGCGTTTCCGTCCGTCAAACGTTGTACGATCTACACTGCGCTTGCGCTAACGAAAATACGGCCAATCAATTACCGCATTTCGTCCAGGTGCTTTTCGTTAATTACGGCTAAATTAATCTTGCGATCATCGGGGCAGGATGGGGCTGCCGTACGAAAATCGTACAACTATTCGATCGGACGAAAAGTTTCGTCCGATAATCGTAAGGTGTATGGGCACCTTTAGACTATAAGCTCCTTGAGGGCAGGGACTGATGTGAATGTGCAGTATGTAAAGTGCTCTATAAATACCTGTAATATATCAAATAAATAAAGTCAAAAGGTTTTTAATCTATTTCAAATGCAAATATCACTTAAAATAGATGCTGCTACTTCATATATTAACCACTTGAAACCCCCTTCCCATCCAGGCCATTTTTCAGTATTCAGCACTGCAGTAATTTGAATGACATTTATTCCGTCATGCAGCGCTGTACTGAAATTCATTTTATACCCTTTTTTGGGGACAGATAGAGCTTTCTTTTGGTGGTATTTAATCACCACTGGGGTTTTTATTTTTTAATATATTAGGGAAAAATTACAGAAAATTAAAAAAGAAAACTGTTTCCCCTATATAAAAAAAATCACAACATACAACTGTCCGTCCGTTTTTTTTCTACGGGCGGACGGCAACTGGTTAAAATATTTTAGTCTACTGCAGAATTAGCTGGTCCTCTGAGCACTGGCCCTGATATCCTGTTTCAGAGTGGCTCTTTTCCCTTGCAAGGTCCTATGCTTCTATGGAGCCGCAAACACAGGTACAGCAAGGCAAACCACTCCCTGTTCCTCCTTCAAGCTAGTAGATGGAAAGTTTCTGTAGCCTGCTCTTTTCCTTGTGCTCTTATACTCGACAGGAAGTTCATAGAATCTAAGCCGAGAGCGTTGAAGCTGTTAAGAAACATGATGACTAAGTGTTTGGGCAAAAATGTAAAGAAATACTTTGCTGGGTGATATACATTTGATCTTGATTCATCATAGAAAAAAAGTTTGAGAGTTTAATACTACTTTAAAGTGAAGCACATACTCTGGAGTCAGGAAAAGCTAGAGCTGACTTTGAGCAAAGAAGGTTAAAATGTACCCATACCGAGGTCAAGAGATCTGTGCAGCGAGCGTCTCATGCCTTTTTACAGATATTTTCCTGAAAAGTCTAAAGGAAAATTACTTTATTTGGAAGACAAACGGTGTAGCTGGTTCATTTTGTGACGTACTCACTTCACACCACACTTTGAGGTAAAAATGTGAAAGTTTTAACCACTTCAGTTATAATGAAATTCTGGGAACTCTGGGTCACGCACCAGCAGCAACCATTATGGGGAACGTGTGAGTCAGTGTGCTGGGAACAACAAAACAGACAGCTGATAAAATGAGAAAATGGGCAAGCCGGCCGTTCTGACATCCAATGATGAAGTGGTTTTTAGTCAGTGTTTGGCTTACGCGCTCCTCCAGAAAACATGGCTGAAACCAATTTCTACTGAAGCCAATACACCATTTTAAATTCAACTTTCCATTGCATGTCTGAACTTCAATTTTAATCTGTATTCCACACCAGTAAGTTCTGGGTTACTCTGTATTTCCCTTACCATGATGCTAAGAGATAATTTGTTATAGCAGGATATCTGTAAGCACTAATGAGAAATTATTCTATTCATCCTGGCAATCTAAATCATACATTTTGAAGTGTTCTTGTATCTAAATGTGGTGTGTGTTAATTATTAGGGATGCACCGATACCCGTTTTTCAGTGTATGTGACCATCTTCAATAAGGACCCTTTCACACGGGCTGATGAGGAGAGGATAAGTGGGTGTAGTGCAATACCTTGCTGCAATGCATCAAAATGTTTACTTTTTTAAAAACAAGTTATAGGAATGTCACAAATGACCAAATTCAAATCTATGAAAAACAGCACTCTGGGAAGCGCTGCAATGCAATTAAATGCTTTTTTGTACATCGAGATGCATAAAAATGCACCATGTTGTACATGTGAGCACAATGACACATGTATTTTGTAAACAGAACACTTGATAATTGTCTTTTATGTGTCCTTGCATTGAGCCTGCACTGATCAATGGTAAACAATGCAGCTCAATGCGCCAGCTGTGAACCCTAGGGCCCATTTACTCTTGTAGACACCTATTATGCTCTATGTAATGCACGCCCACTGGTATGCATCGTGTAGGGGAGGTGCAATACTTTATTACAAGACATCGCAATATTACCTTGTTTTTTTTTTACTTTATTGAAATGTCACAAAATGACATTCCATTCAATTATTTGCAACACTCTGTGCTGCCTAAAAATGCAACCTGTCCTACTTTTTTCAGAGCAAACCAATGCAGCTTGTTGGTGTGAACTGGAACAGTAAGACATAAAGTAAACTTGCCTTGTCTACCCGTTGGGACTGTGATGGGCAATAGGGCTACTATGACAGAGTCCTTGTCCTGGTAACAAATAGTCTCTTCAATGAGGGCACAAACGGCAATAAAATTCTGACAGGTGTTTCAAATCTTAGGTTTAGTTCACACCAGCCCCAGTGCATTCCCGGCCCGATTGGTGCCGTAACACACTGGATTGCATTCCGGCCGCCTCATTTTGTTTTGCCTGCAAGCACAATTTTTTTTCTGACCGCACCGGACTGGAACACAAGCATTGATAAGCCACGCGTTCCAGTGCGCTACGACCGGAGAGCATGGCTGGGTACCATTGACTTCAATGCACTGCCACACCCCTTCCCGCCCCAAAACAAAGTGAGCCGTCCGGAAATCGATCCAGTGCTTTCCGGCACCAATCGGGCCAGAATGCACTGGGGCTGGTGTGAACTAGCCCTTACATACATTATCCAAAAAAAGGGGACTTTTTTTATACCCTTTATCTATACTTCAGTATATTAAATGTTAACTTTCCCACAGACCTTCTAGTCTAATCATTAAATAAGGGATACAAGCTATCTGAAGTCATAAGTGCTCGACAGTGACTTTTAGTATAGGAATGGGGGACCAGAGGTGCTGAGAATTCCTTTGCAGACAAGCCACCCCCAAGGTAAGTAAGATCGGGGGGGGTCAGAGATCCAACCCCCTGGCATCCAACCAAAAATCACCATTTTAGTAAAGGGTGAACATATCTTTAAAATGTTTACTTTCATATGAAATGACTAGCATGCTAGCATTCATATACATTTCGCATATTTATGACTTTGTCTCCATTTTCCTTTTCTCAATCATAGATATTAATCTATATCCTTGTTAAAAACGGTCAAATGACTCTCCCTCCCCCTGAAGCCAGTGCTCCATACAAACAGCAGAAGCTCTCACCGATTGTGTTGCCAGTATGGAACACTTTTTTTTTTTTGCATTCTGGTCATAATTACCTGGAGGCCCAGAACAGATGGGGGCAGCTTTCTCAGAAGTTCAAAGGCAAGGAGTTTCACTTCCTCAAAGGTGTTACTGAAGCACTCTAGGAGAGCGTGCACATTGTTACCGCTGACCGACCGAGCGAACTGAAATACGTTCTGACAAGAGCCTGTGAAAAGACATCATTAGTAGGAAAGAAATCTCACTAATAAGTTTCTGCTTCACAAAACAAAGCTCGTTAAGCTTTACTGCTCCCAATAAAGGAGCGCGGGGACCTGCACATGTGAATTACCAAATGCAGATGTAGACCTGGCTTCCAGATAGATTTAAAAGGAAAGCCATATTAAATGCAGATGTCTTTGTTTCCGCAATTCAGGTCATTGGAGATCGTTTTGTTGTTACAGAGGAGATCCCAACATTCCATGTCCCCCAAGACTGAGTGAGCAGAGATACAAACTCTGAAGAGCAACAGGTAAAAATCAAAGAAGAATGATGTAATGGCCGTACAAATCCCAAGGACCAGGTAGCTGATACAATTCTGGATTTTTTATTTCCTGTTATTGTGAATAGAAGCACATGTTCCCTTGCATCTGAAAAAGTAGGAATCTGTGATAAGGCAAAATGCGTATATGCAAAGCTGCAGATGGAAGCTACTGTTGTCTGACTTCTGGTTTGCATGCTAGCGTCAGGACCGTGACATCACTTGTGGGCTGAACAGTTTCATTTTAAACTCTTCGGACTTGTTTGTAGCCCAGGACTACAGTCATCGACTGACGTAGCTAAATCAGAAGCAGCAGTAGGGAACCTAGGCACTCCAGCTTTGCAGAAATGACAAATCCCATCATGCCTCTCAGAGTCATACCTGCGGCTAGCAGAGTATGGAAATACCTCAAAGGACTTGTAGTTCCACAACAGCTAGAGTGCCAAGGTTGCCTACCCCTGAGCTAAAGAATACTCTCCTAAAAGAGCACGCAAGCTAGGTCTATAGATGCCCCATGAGAACAATGTAGGGGAGTGGCAGCCTGGAAAGAAGTTTTAAAAATGCTTCAAGTACATAAAATTACCTGTTGGTCTCCCAGAAATCCAGTGTGCTTCTTACTTCCTGTTTGAGCCAACAACACAGTGCCTCTGCTGAACTGAACTCCTAAGCAGTGTTTTCAGTCTGCTGGACTACAGAACTCCACCTATTCCCAGCAAAGCAATGCTGCTGCATAGAAGTGCAATTAAAGTGTTCAACAGAGGAAACCCAGGTGCCACACCCCTTAGCAATTGGCCAAAACTTTAACTATCCTATGCACACTACATAGCCTTCAACAATTAGGTTAAAATGTTAAAACCTTTATTGCAGCATTAAATACCCAAGTTAAAACAATGTTTTGGACTTAAATGGTATACATATCAAACAGTCCAAAGTTATAAAATGTACACTGAGACACAAGTGCATTATTCTAGTGACTTCAGAAATGATAACCACGAAGGAATGTCCTGATACCACTTTTTTAAGACCAAGTACAAGTACTGTCGCTCATGTACTTGCCAATACCAATTACTAATACTTTTTCTTAAAGGGACACGTGACTGAATACATGTCCCCAAACCCGAACATGTCCCTAAGGCAGAATGGTATTCTGCTTTGGGGACATGTATTCTGCTTTGGGAACATGTGTTCTGCGAATACATGTCCCCAAAGCAGAGTTCCTCTCACCAGGCTGCGTGTCAATCTCACCGGGCGACGTGGACATCTGCAGTCGCTCTGTGGGCACTCCCCTCGTCCAGACCAGCGATGCTGCCATGTCGAGTCCTCCCCGTCAGTGTGCGGCGAGAACCCCCAGCTTCTAGCCCCGGGGCGGTAGCTCTGCCCCCGGGGCTGTCCATGGCTGTGCCTGCGCCGGGATGGAGGAGGAGGAGATAAAGAACCGGACAGGCACTGCCATGGACAGCTATCTGCAGGTCCCCAGCAGGCGGTCGAGGTCCCCACAAGCGCGGGAACTTGGACAGCCGCTGCTGTTTGAAAATTTAACGGGCTGGTATAGGCCTTAAGAATCGGGGCATTTTCACGAGTACAAGTACTTGTGAAAAAACCTGGTATCGGGACATCCTTAATAACCACAAAAGGAATGGTGATGTAATAATGGCTGCCAACCCCTCAATGCGTTTCGCTGATGACAGCTTCCTCAGGAGGATACAACAGCATTTGTGAACCAGCAAAGAACCAAATGGAGGAAAGCAGCACTCCCTGACATCAGCTCCCCCAGGGGGCATAGGATGGACAACAGCAGTACAGAAGACGTCCGCACCTAAACCTGCGGTCAGGATAATATAGAGCTTCTCCCTCGGGTAGTCTCTATATCAGGGGTAGCAAACCTCCGGCCCTCCAGCTGTGGTGAAACTACAAATCCCATGATGCATCTCTCTTCGGGAGTCATGTCTGTGGCTGTGAGAATCTTGCAATGCCTCATGGGGTTCCACCACAGCAGGAGGGCCTTGCTACCCCTGCTCCATATAAGACCGACCGCAGGTTTCGGTGCGGAAGTCTTCTG